CAGTTGTAATATTCCTATTGGGGCTATTGGGTGCAGTACGCGAAAGCGTTTGTTGTACAGTGACGGTGAGCGCAAGAGCAAATAAATGAATGCATATCTGCACTTGAGTAAATATTTATTTATACATACTTGTTTACCGAATAATTGAATAAAAGTACATACTATATATCTTTTATTGAAAATGCAAAACGAAGTTTAAAAAACTAATCGCTTAGTCAGCATTGTTATGTATTATTTACCTACATATTTATGTGTGAATGTATGTATATGTAAAGCTGATATGTATTTATGTACATATGTATCCTTAATTTAAATCAAACGAATTTTCATGCATTCATTTATTTATTATATACACAGTTTATTACACTGCTCTGGATTGTGATAATCGCCCAAATAGCTGTCGCATTTCTTTTAATAAAAGGTGAAAGCACAGTAGCTTCGCATCTCTCGAATGCCGTGGACAAGGCGTGGGAGGAAGAGCTGACAAGCCCTGGTGCAATGTCGCAATATGAGAATTGGGTAAGTGACAAGTGTAGCATAAATACAACTGTACATAAATATAAAAATATTACAATTTAACGCTTAGAAGAAAATCTGAGAATAAAGCTAATGCTTTAAAGTGCTTAAAGATGCGAAGAAAAATTTTAGTAGCTCCTTCGGCCCTTTATCGATTGCAAGATGCAGGCCCTGCAGATGATCTTTATCGAGTTTTATGCGCCTTCTTCTGCCTAAGGCTGGGCATTCGAAGATTACTTGCTTCATTGTTTTTTTTTTGGAAAGCGAGGTTTCCCACATGCTCTGTTAGCAATCCTATCAGGAGCCTCGAGTCTGTTCTTCTTGTTGATATAGGAAATTAGAAACTTTCCTGTCGTATGAATTACACATAATTTCTAAAAGTCTGCAACGCTGAATTTTTTTCCAAAGGCTCCCCGCTTGGGGGTAATGAGCAGATCTTGTAATCTTTTGATTTCCCCAAGAGAACGCCCTTCTTGGCTAGCTCGTCAGCGTGTCTTGGGACCCAATATAGGTGGACAGTTTTAGCCACAGCTAGCCTTCTTATAGCCTCCGAAGAGTCCTCGGCGGTGATGGAATTTGTTTCATACGAAAGTAGAGCCTTAATGACCGCCTGACCATCTATGTAGTTGTTAATTTGCTCGCTTGTTGGGTTATTTTCATGCAATACCTTTGCCGCTTCCTTTATTGCAAAAAGCTCAGCTTAATAGAAACTGCAGTGATCTGGTAGCCCAAAGGACCTATGAATTATTGGGTTCTGTGAAATATACTGAGCCCCTACTCCTTCGTCCATTTTAGAACCGTCTGTGAAGACGTGCGTTGCGTTCGCTTTCCAAGACCTACTTTGCCTCTGAGACATCCAGAGCCGATTCGTTCCTGGCTAGCTCGTCGGTCTTTTTATTGCCATGAATTCTGCTGTGTCCCGTGCAGTGCAACGACATGCCTGTCAGCTAAAGCCGTAACGCTCTCCCTGCACTTTTTTTATTAGGCTGGCTGTGATGCTTACAGAGTCAAGTGCCATGACCGCTGCTTGGCTTTCCTGAAAATAGCAATGCTGGCCCCGGCTAGCTTCGAGGCTAAAATTATATTGCAGGCCTCATTGATGGCAAAGAACTCTGCCTGAAAAACACTATTTTTGAGCCGTCCGCAAAAATCGATACTTCAAAGCGTTAAGTAAAAATAGGCTCCTTCTTGGAGGAAACACCTCGCCGAAGTTTATCTTGAAGAGAAGCGAAGGACAGATTGCCACTTTGCCAAGTTGAAGGAACATAGTTGAGCATTATACTTGGTTTGAATATGCTCTCCAGCGATGGAATAACCCACGATTGGGCCTCCTGTCGCATTGCTGGAAAGATCCCGTCCGTTATCGACATTTATGAATGGTGCCGCTACGTTGTTATCTACCGCCAAGACCTGATTTAGCTCACAACCTTAAAAATGGGTACGAAGAAGAAGTCCTAATGTCTCCTTAGAACTATTGGTTCACCTTTCATCTTTAATTTTCAGAAAGGAGGGTTGCTATATTCCTTGAACTTGCACAGGACGAAAGATTGTTCCAACATTTGTTGGATACGAGAGTGTTGTAGTGTTTAAAAGTGGCCATTGTTTCATCTACTTGAAGTGATCACTCAAATAAGGTCATAGAAAATATGGCAAATTGATGGTGATCTCTGTTGGCAAATGGACGCTACCGTACTTGTTTTATTGAGTGGGATGGTTTCAGTTCGAAAATAGTCAAGGAGCGGAGAACATAATGGGCCTCGTGCATAATAAGTGATCTTAAGCTCAGACTCAATTTTTGCAACCTTTGGAGTGAGCTCAAGCTCAAGAAATTGTACTAAAAATCGAAGCGGAGCTTAAGCTCACTTTGTATGCGTAAGGCCCAATATATCCATTAAGTTGCTGTACATATCACTCCAAATACCTAACCATGTTGTAAGAATGAAGGGTTAGAGCTCTCTATTTGGAATATTATTTATTTATAAATATTTAAAATTTCCTGGCTTCGTTTATATTAAAAATTTCCTTTATTTTGATCTTTGCCAGTTTGAATGCTGCGGACGCGCCAGTCCCCACGATTACATTGTCAACGATCGCTTGCCGCCCAGCACCTGCTTCAGGCAGAACGACGCAACGAAGAGTGAGAATCTTATTGCCACCGGTTGTCGCATACAGTTTGAGAACTACTGGCTGAGCTTGTTGCGTGTCTTCAATATAATCGCCTGTGTAATGATTGCTTTAGAGGTTAATAATTATAAACAATTTGACATGCAATTTTTGTATTAAAAATAATTTTTCATTTTATTTATATTTTACAGTTAATTGGTAGCGTGGTCTCATGCTGTCTATGCAACAGTATACGCAATGATCATAGGCGTTCTTTTTATTGAAAGGATTCGCGAGAGGAGACAAATTGCTCACTAAACTAACAGCAGCTTTTTATATGTTTTATAAAAACATTTGTATTTTTTTTTAGTTTTAATAAAAAATAGTTGTATGTGATTTTCATAAGTATGAATTATATCTAAGATATAATAAAACTTATTCTAAGCTATCCGATGTGGAAAGATTGCATTCAAATTTAATGAATACATATTTTCCCAGCAGTCAAGAAGATAAATTTGGTTTATAAATGAAAAAAGCTTGAAATAGGTGTTGATTTTTGGAAATTCATTACTTGCCTTGTTGCCGTTGATGCTAATTCAGATGATTCTAAAGATTAAACTTCAAATTAAGAATGAATTAGGTATATTATAAATATTATCTAACTGGACATTCAGATTTAATTAAAAAAAAATTGCACAATGAAAACGCGAATTAAAAAAAAACTTAAAAAAAAAATATATATATATATATATATATATATGTATATATATATTTATAACACTATTTATTTGCGCCGCCATTGAAATTGGTCCACCGTCTACCAGGCTATATGATAGAAAAAACTCCAGCATGTCAAAAAGCGTACGTTGAAAGTATTTTAAAGCTCAAAATAGCAATAAAGAAATTTTTACTTTCATTAAAACAACAACCAGTATACTCTCCATATGCGTGTATACATATATATATGTATATGCGAGCCTCTCCAGATTGCTTTTAAATAAGAAAATTTCGAATCGACTAAAATGGAAATAAAAAATCGATTTTTATGACCTGAAGAAAAATTAGTAATATCGTTATTTTGTGATCTAAAAATCCTTATTTTGCATTTATTTTGAGATATAAGTTTTCGACCGTGAAGGATCATATTTAAATCAGTCATCAGAATGCAAATATTATCGAAAAGAAATGTATCTGAATTGTGATCTAAAAATACTTATGCATTTTTTTTTAAATTATAACCGTTATTTTGAGATATAAATTTTCGCTTCTGGAGCATCATAGGACAGTCATTAGAATACAAATATTATCGGAAAAATTTATCTTAATTATTACTATTAAAAATTATCGAAGGAACCACAATTCAAATTAGTGATTACTTGTGGTCCATGAATGTATGCATACAGGAAAATAACCATTACGTACCAAGATTTTTTTTTTTTTGTGATCCTAATTTCTAAACTAAAAATCATCATATAAAATTTAAATTTGATCTGAAATCTGAATAGAAATCTAATTTTAGGGGTTAAATTATGATTTTTAGTATTCAAGAAAAAATATAAATCCCAAAATAAAAATAAAATGTAATCGAGAAAAAAATAAATATAGCTAGCAAAATTGTTTTCTTATTTTGTTAATCATTGCACTCTGGTTATTTTACGATCTTTAAAGTACGGTCAGACGTTGCAATGAAAGCAGTTTCTTAACGCAGAAAATTTTAAAATGAAATACCGCTTATCAGTACCAACAATTTGCTTGTGCTGCACTAGGAATTTTACATTCTGTAAAAATGCTGACAAGCCAAGTCGGTATTGCTGCGTGCAATATGTTTTCGCCAGTCAAAAAATCACCTCATGTAAAGGCAGCTTTAGATTGGCCCGTTTTGCATTAATAACGACGATGAATTTTAATGGCTGTCCGTTTTATTTAAATGAAAGTGTTTAAATTATTCTTAATTAACGATAGCCGATTTAATAAATACAGTCAGCGTCAAAAATATGAAATATTTTCCATACCAAATTTTTTTTTTTTTTTTTTTTTTTTATAAAAGTAAAAGAAAAAAGCCAGCAGAGTAATTTTTTTTTTTTTAATTCCATATAAAACTAGGCAAAGCTGAAGAAAACCCAAAAAACTTTCAAATCGATTTCTTAAAAAAATTCAGAGTATACAGTTTTGTAGCCCATTATATTTTAATAAGGTGCAAGTTTCAAAATAGATTTTGTTCTTACGTTATACGGTAGAAAATGCGCAATGTCCTTGTAAAAGAAAAACTCAAAAATCAACGGTAATTTTTGGAGACTTGAAACTTGCACCTTTAAATTCGATTCAAATTTGTTAATATTGCTTGAATTTTCCCCAATTATATATGGAATCGAAAAAATTGATTATGCTGGTGTTGGCTGTTGAATGACCTATATTTTTATATTTATTAAAAAAAATAAGAAAAATTTGGTATGGAAAATATAAATAAATAAAATCGTCAAAACGTCAGGGTATTCATATTTTTGAAGCTGACTGTAAATAGACATATGTATGTAGTATTTAGCTTTTGATAAAAATAAATGTACCGACAAATACGAAAAGGGAATGAAAAAAAATATAACTAACTGTACGATACAACTTTTACTCTATATTTTTTAGATACATACAAATGTAAGTGTGGTTTAAAGTTTATTCAAATACACAAACAAGCAGCTATGCTTACTGAATACTGTGCATTTAAGTAAATAAAAAACGCTTACTTTTTCGGCATACTGCTGTTGCCGAAACCTTAAAAACAATGCCCATTTATATTTTTGGTTATGTCCAATGCATAAAACGATCTAATAAATTTTATAATAGTTGGAGCTTTAATATAATAATATAAATGTTTATATGAATTTACATACATACATATGTCAATAAATATAACGAAAATTCCAAAATGCATGTTAACAACAGTTTTAAAGAAATCCAATGCATTTAAAAATGCTTTCGAATCAAATAAAAAATGCGGGTATTTTGAAAAAGCCAATAAAAATATGTTCATAAATATATATTTGCTATTTCATTGAATTATGTGAACAATATGCCGATTTATTTATTTATATTAAAAACATGAAAATATCGTTGCAATCAAATCTGCATTAAATAAATGTCAATAACGTCAATCACAAGAAGCTGTCTTAAATAAATAACTAACAGATGAACACTTATAGAAATACAATAAATAATCAATTTTAAGTACTATGCCAGTTTCCACTGGGCATTAAAGAGCGAAAATTTTACTAACAAAGTTCGGCATTAAGGCATACATGTGCCATTACTTTAATTGCATTTACATTGCCTATTTTGAATGGCACATAGTTTTTGTCTTATCAATACTTAGTGGAAATTCGGCATTATGTTTTTGTTAAAAGAAGCCTTTAAATGTTTTTGATAAATATTAAATTTATTATACATGTGTACACATAATTTATAACAAAATACAACTATTTATATAAAAAAAATTTAATATTGTTTATAAGTTTAAAGTTAAGTTTTAAAAAATTAAATATATACACTGAGCTGAACCTTGAAGGATTGTAATTTGCTCGCAGAAAAATTTTCGATTACGTGACCATGTTTTATATTATAGACTTAATGAATTGAATTGAATTGAAAATGAATAAAATAAAATTTAAAAAAATATATGATTGACATTATCGTAAATTTCGCCTTAATACATAGTAAGTAAAAAGAATCATTATACAGGATTTCCATAAGGCCTTGAAATGACATAAATAAATTTAAATGGCAAGGTTGGATATTAAATAAAGCTCGTACCAATATAGATAATAAGGTCCAGGGGTTCCACCTGCGCAACTCCTGCTGGTTAGAAGCGTATCTCCTGGTGTTTGCACCACTTCGGCTGCAGAAAAATGGTAAGTTGACTACCACTCCTTCATAAAGCAGCAGATTTTGCAAAGAGAATTCGTTGGAACGTTGGTAAGGATTTTTACTGAAGATCTAAAGCGGCCGCTGTGGTGTAGTGGTTTGCACGCTACAATTCCGAAGGGCCTGTGTTCAATCCCGGTGCAACCCAACATCAAAAAATACCAAACTGCTTTTTTAAATAGCGGTCGCCCCTGGACAGGCAATGGGAAACCTCCGAGTGTATTCTACTATGAAAACCATGTGAGTCAGACATGATATCCACCACTGGCACGCCTGCTCCTTCTTTAAATTTTTCATGATGCAGAATTAGCAAAAACCATAGGCATAGGTTTGTTTGTATGCAATACGAAAATGACAGTTTCGCGTTTTCTGCAGCCAACTTCATCACCTAACACCCTGTCAAAATCGGAGTTTCCAACCGTTCAGCGTTGACGCCGCGTTGTTTCGGTATGCTTCAAACAAATTGTATGGGCATGCGAATTTTTTGACAGCCAGACAACGCTGACGCTTTTTTTTAGGTATGGCCAACTGTTGTCCATTGTGAATGTTAGCAAACAAAGCTAGCGAGTTTGGCGTCCGCGGTAGCTGAGTGATGATAGCTGCGTACTATAATTCCGTAGTACCCAGGCTCGATCCTCGGCTCGGAAAGTTGCCAACATCTTTTTATTTTTGGTGGATTTGGTTGGACTTATATAACTTATTTTACTTTATATACCTTATATTACTTTATTTTATTTTATTTTGTTTTATTTTATTTTATTTTATTTTATTTTATTTTATTTTATTTTATTTTATTTTATTTTATTTTATTTTATTTTATTTTATTTTATTTTATTTTATTTTATTTTATTTTATTATATTTTATGTTATTTTATTTTATTTTAATTTGTTTTATTTTATTTTATGTTATTTTATTTTATACTATAACATTGTTTTATTCCAACCCGACCTTAAGCTCAAAAAATTAATATAATCCTCAATTAACAGCCAAACACAAAAAAAAATAATTTAGTTTAATTGGATTTAATTTAATTTAGTTTTAGTTGGTTTATTAATAGTTGTCTGATGTTTTTGGATTTAATTTTATTAAAAAGTTCACAGCATCTATAATTACAAAAAGGTAATAATTGAATGAATTAAAAAAAAAATAAAGGAAATTTCTATTGGCCGTGGGACTCGAACCCACTACCCCTCAGTTTATTAATCCGCATTTTTATCCTCTGTCAAAGTATAATTTTGAGCAGTTTATGCTCTAAATTAAAGTGAATTTCATCCTTCGATCCGAAGCTGCCGCCTAAAGCAAATAAGCCAAGAAAATATTTCTTAGACATCAAGCACTATTTCGCCTGTTAATGGAAATATTGTACAAAAAATAAATCTCGATTTCTTCAATTTATTCAACAAATCCGTTATAAGGCGATTTTAAAAGTTTCCCTTAGCCTAAAAGTATAGGAAAAATTAAAAAAGCGATACGCAAAGTAATCGTTCATATTAACTCTTTATCTCTCTCCAACAATAAAATATTTGTTTTGATTTATTACGTTAACGCGATGAGGCGAATGAATGCTCCACGTGCAAATTCAAAACAATGTGGGAGTAAATTTTGTTTCGTGAGCACTTCATTTCCATTCACCAATAGCAAAGCATTTCGTCGAGCAATCGACCCACTCACTTATACAAAGTTCCCTGTAGGAAATGAAGCATTTTCGGTTGTGTGATTTGTGTATAAGATTTGAGGTATTATGTCTCCCGCTTATCTGTTTTCCCATCTATGTTGATAAGTTTCTATTTATAGATTGCTTGAAATCAAATATCAAAAAAAAAAAAAATGGCAAGACATACATATCAGTTATATGCAAGCTAAGCTGGTAACAGCTCATTTACGACTGAAGACTCTTATATTTCTGAAAATGAAAATTTTTAAAATGTCTTGTTTTGTATGGCTAAAATTAAAAAACAAATACTCTGAA